TAGTATTGATAAATGTTAAAGTGAACAGAGTTTTGGACCCCTAAGTACCATAGATAATATAATTATTATTAATAAATTATCATTGTAATCTCCAGTATGCAATTTGTATATCACCAAACTCTACAATTATTTTCAATAAAAGAAAATTATTAAATAAAATATGTAAGTTATACGAAAAATTTGCGCGTGATGAAAATATTCAATGAAGTTTATAGATTAAATTAAATATCGATATCTTTTCATAGTAATTTTAACAACCTCTAACGGATATTAATTATTAATTACCATTAACGTGTCCAATTTGAAATTTTTCGCTCCTTAATAACACGTGACCTTTTCTACTCAAATGGCTTCTGCCATTTCCGTGTTCACGGTCAAGGAGTAAAGTATCGGTACAAATTGTTTAAGGTTGTTCTCACATGACCTTAACATCGGTGAAAGTGTGTTTACCGTCTGTGACATAAATAGTGGATCTTTATATCGCCTATGGCACACCGTTCAGCCGTCGCTGTCTGTGTAAACATTATATTTCCTCGTCGCAAGTATACACTGGCATAGCCGACATGGTACAAAGTTAACAAAGTTCAATGTTACAAGCATGGTAATCGCGAAAAGTTAACGTTACAGTACCACGAAGTCACACAAATAAAGTTTCGCTCTTAGGGTAACGCATAGTCCATAAGGGGCGGCTGTAAAAGAGGAATATAAAGACCAACGTGTGTACAAGACAGGCTTGAAATTAATAAGCCTGTGTGTTATCCGTCAGATACTGTAAATGTGAGCTGAGTGACCAGGGGTCAAAGAATAATGGCACAAAGGTGTATGCGTGTTCCGAAGGGAACGTGTGCACGGGATACAAAAGTCTTCATTAATCAGCACACTCGAGAACATGAGTGATCATTTGTTGTTCCCCGACTTGAACGATGTAATTAAAAAAAGGATCACTAATAAATCTAGGGATGGATAAACTTAGACATGGAACTTTCGATTAAGTGTATATGTCATTAAAAATAGTGAACCAGTTAAAATGGTTTCAAACTTTTTGGTTTCAGTGTTACTGAGAGCATATAGCTATTTTTGAGAAAATTATTTTATATAATAGCAATAATAATTAGTATATAATAATTAATAATTAATAGCTGTTAAAATGGTTTCAAACTTTTTGGTTTCAGTGTTACTGAAAGCATATAGCTATTTTTGAGAAAATTAATATATATAATAGCAATAATAATTAGTATATAATAATTAATAATTAATAGCAGTTAAAATGGTTTCAAACTTTTTGGTTTCAATGTTGTTCAATGCATATAGCAATTTTTGAGAAAATTAATATAAATATATTAGTAATAATACAATAATTAGTGTTTAATAATTAATAGTAATAATTATCCACTTTAAGACAGATATTAGTATGTATATTATTTTATTATGCTATTATAATATTATACCATGTATACAATATTTAGATATACATTATAGATTACAGAGTTTAGTGTCAAAATATTTAAAAAGAGAAAAAAGTAATTAAAAAAAAGAATTAGAATCAGAGTTGACAAATTCAGTAACTAAAATTGACTAGATTCGATAACATCAATTCTCTGGTAAAATAAGTGAGGCTTGAATTTCACTGTTAGCTGTATATATATATTTAACTACATGTATCATATTTTGATACACATTCATCAGTGTTTATACTGATAGTCTTTAATAAATAAATAAATAAATAAGCAGCAATAAATAATAGCTATCCAGAAATGACTTTCAACGAATTCTGTCAGACAATGGACACTTTAATCCCTATATCTAAACTCGACGCTGCTAAATCTACTATAGATATCGATTCGTGCGCAGATCTAGCCTCGGGGTAGAACTATTCGCACATCCGTGCATAGGTATCCAACATGCTGCATCTCTCTCTCCCTCTCTCTCTCTGTCTCATGAAACAAAAAAAAAAAGGAATAAAAACAGGAAAAAATAAAAGAAAAAAAGGGATAAGAAGGAAAACAGTGAATCTACATTTGCAGGGATTGAAAAAACAGCTAGCAGGTAATACTTCAGAATAGAAGCACGTATTTTTCGGCAAACGTGTAGCTTCTAGCGGCTCAAGACATCAACAATGGTGACATTTTTAAAGATCCTTCAACAACAATGGACAGGCATTTCGTCTTGAAACGCACACAGTGTTCCTTTATGTCTGCGGGCACAATGCTCTTCGATCGTTCTCGAAGAGGTACTCAGATCTCGAAGACCGTTCATCCCCTCAGGTGTGTGGAAGCTCGGTAAAGGACTATATGCCAATTTTTCTTTTTTTTCTCCCCTTTCTTACCACTCTCGCGGCACAGCACATGCACGAGAAACTGGTCCAAGGTAAATCCGTTGAGGATTGTTCCGTGCGTAGCGACGAAACCAGGGACACGGATGTACACAGTCCTGCTAGAGTTGTTTGGCTACATGCGTGCAACTAGGAACCGTGTCCTGGAAATGCTGGGATTAATGTAGGTCAACACTCACTCCTAAACTCTGCGGGCGAAACATGTTCCCGTGTTCGTTGAACGAGTATATGATGCATGAAAAATAAGCAGCAGGAAATACGAGAGAGAGATCGCGTGCCTGATTAGGATGATTAGCCGAGTCTAGATTCGCCTATGGTGCTAACCTTCATTTCAGGGGTTAAACTGCGTTGACGTTGATGGACGCGTGCTATATAATTCAACGTTACCCGTTGTAATGAATGAATCGCTCTTGCTCCATTCTGGGTCAGGTGCAGCCTCCATTTTATAACACCTACCATCTGCTCGGAGCGTACGCGTGTATCGGGTTAGCCTAGTCAGGCGATCGCGTTTTATCTGTCTCGTCTGCGATCAGACCAAGAGGCGATTACAGGTAGATCGATGACGGCTGGCAACAAGTGTCGAGAAATCTTAGGCCCAAGCGATCCGTCAATAAATGCCAAGCGATGGCGAGATGTGGGCACGTATTGGTTGAAAGAGATCGAGTGGACACGAGATTATTTTTCCTCTGACTTGCCAGAGTTTTGATCGATGGCATTTGTTTGCCCGATTCTCGCTCGCCGAGGTTATCTTTTGGAAAATACGTCTGTCTACGTACGTCTATCTGTGTCGTCCTATTGACCTAGGTAGCCTATCCCCTGAAATTCTTATACTTCTATTTATCCTAACGAAGGTGGAGAAGGGCCTATGAATATTAAATTTACGGTCGACTGGAGCGCTCTATGAAACGAAATTGTTTTCCAAGTCGAAGGTATAAGACAGGTTGGAATAATTGAAGAGGAGGATCTCACGAGCCATGGCTTATCAAGAAGGAACCAAGCGTTCGACCCCTATTTACAGGGTCGAGCAACTTCCCAAAGCGATTCTATTACGGCGAAATCGGGTTCGTAGATCTGTCAATGCATACGTTATGGCGCATTGTTCGATAACTTTTGCAAGATTGATCACGATACGCAAACTCCCTGGCCAGGCTGCTCCGCACTTAGGAATAGAATACGAACTGTGGAAACAATCTGTATCTATTAGCCTGCCGCTTGTAGCGCAGCCTATTTGTCCTTTATCGGGGAAATGGAAACAATAGCAATGCGCTGTTCTTCCTGAAACAGCAATACACGGATGCATAATCGAATTCAAACACTTGAACGTAATCAGCCCGCTTTAGAGATATCAGGTCAATCCTGAATGTAGCCGGGAATCGAGGTTACTATGTACAATGACGATGCGGTATCACGAGAGCTACCTAGCGTGGAGCAATCGATTGTGTTTTTCATTCACGCGGTTTTAACGTTGCGCGACACATATCAGCACCCCAGTTTCGACTCCTCTATCAGGCTATTTCCGTAGTGAACTGGAAGCCCCTTTCAATCGAACCATCAATCGCCTTCTCCTCTTAAACTCGCCGCACGACGAGTTAACGTACCCCAAAACGAAACGAAACGAAACGAACGTGGAATCGTTTCGTGCCTGACGAGAGAAGGGTCCTCGGATCCTTGGCGAGAAACACGAAACGCTGGGACGTTGTTATATCCACGGACAAAGGTCCATACGGTGAAGATAAATAGGAAGCAGACAAGGCAAGAGGAACCGAAGAGGAAAAGTATCTAACTCGACGATTGGGCCGGAGATTGCCCGTGGTCAGAGGAAGAAGGAAAAGGACAAGAGTACACTGCGAGAACGGGGCTTAGGGACAGAGGGGAGTGTTACTGGAGACGGTGGACGAACATTGCGGTCCAGAGGGATGAAGGAGAGGCTTTACTAGTGGCGAGGGGTAGCGATACTGGCGTATGAGGGAACGGGGATAGACGGGAGGCCAGGGTGGCGGGGTAGGGTGGATAGTTAGGCGGTGGGTGGATAGTCGGGGTAGTGGGTCGGTTGGTTGGTTTGCGTGGAGGAACTGCGCGGCAGTCGAGGCCGCGAGGCTCAGTGCTAGGGAGCGCGGCATCGCGATGCGTCGGCTCCTGGTTGCTGCCGCACTCGCTCACGGCTTTTTTCCTCGTTCAAACGTTTCCCTTCTCCCCGTTACTCTCGAGTGACAGCGTGTTCTCCTTTGTCTCCTCTTTACATTCGCCTTGTACCTTGTCTCACCTTCCAGTTTCCTTCCTCCGTTTCCGCGATCGCGCGTCGTTCCCAGTAATTCGCGAGTATCGTGGCGAACCGCGTGTTCTTCCGCGAGTGCGGTTTCGCGTGTGTATCCAGTGCGTGCAGCCACGTCGCGTGAAAGCAGTGACGTGCGTCGGTCAGCATGAACGCGAGAATAGTCGCACCGGCTAGAACCATGTGGCGACAGGAACCGTAACGAGGCAGAGGAACGGCACACCGACGTTCCCGACGAAATGGAAATGGATCCGTACGCGGTCGGTTGGCCGCCTCAAGGTCATGGTGTCGGCAGTGTTACCGGAGGTGTCGCTGCCAGTGGCAATGGCGGTAGCGTGAGCGACGGTGCGAACACCATACCGCGATGCTGGAGCAGACCATGCAGATCGACCGATCCGTCGCCTATGCGACCGATCGAACATAGCATGCGTTCGACCGAGACGATGAGGTCGATGGAGTCGATGAGATCGATCGACTCGGTGATAAGGCAACCGTCGGCTGACCCTATGCGTGCATCCGTCGAACACCATCAGTCTAGCAGGTCTTTGGAGGCTATGGGTAGACCGATCGAGCAGCAGATCCGCACCGAACAGCCAAGGTCCACCGTTGAACATCCAGCCACGTCGTCCTCCATGTCTTCCACGTCGATGAGAAACGTCATGGATCATCACTCCATGCGCGCCATAGAACATCCCTGCAGGCTGAAAGATCACGCGAGTTACATACACGACCATCACTTTGGCCGGATGCATGATCACGGCTGTAGGTCTGTCGAACACGTTTCGCGGATGCTGGAGCATCGGCTTCACGAGCAGCATCCCGGTAGACCGCCGATCGAACAGACACCTTGTCGGCCAATCGAACATCCTCCTGTGCGACCGCCGCCCGTCAACTATTCCTGTCGGTCTCTCGATCACGCACCCGGAAGACCTATGCCGATGGACTGTGTCATCTATGGTCCGCATTCTCATCCACCGCCAAGGTTACCCAGCGAGAGCCCCTTTCGCGTCAATTGCCCCGTGCACAGCCCATTCCGATATAGATTCCCGAACGGAGCTGTCGATTATCACTCGCAACACCAGGTAAGACTGAGATTCATTCATACGGTGATGGCTAGATGGATCGATCGAGTCGAGAAATCTCACGATTTTCTTTCTTCTGGTTATGGATCGATTGGTGTTTCGAGATATTTATTTTCACGTGCAAGAAAATGCGCTGCACGGGAACAGATCCTTTTGTTTACCCCTATACGTTTGATCTTTGGCAGAATTGATACTTGTCACACGATTTACTCCATTTTTCTTCCTTTTTTATTGAATCGATGCGGATTATTATTTTAATCGTAATAGATAATTAATAATTTTGCAATGGTAATAGGATATTGGAATTTTGAATATGGAACACCAGTGTAATTAACCGGTCCCTATGGTCCAGTGGCAATTGTCATTATGACAATATTATGCGAGGTGAAAATACGTCACGGGAGTGGTACATGTAAAAATTTGACGCATTTTCGAAATTTATCGAACCGCTGAAACAGAGAATGTATGTACGAGGCGCGAACGAAGGGACATATTTTCGGCCAGTTGTGAATTTCACCATGTCCCTTCGAAAGGCCATTTTTTGCAATATGTAAAACTTACTTCATTATACATTCCGTTCGTTGGTTCGAAATTTAGTCCTCATATCGCGATATCGGCGAAATAAATAATCTATTCTGAAACTTGTAAATGATACCTCGCACGTGAACCTGCTGCGAAATAAAATGTCCAAAAATTCCATAAAATATTTCTTGACCCAAAAATACCTTTTCATATTCGTAGCATTAATAGTTCCTGAAAAAAAATTTTGAAACACTATTGCGCGAAAGGACGAAAAAATTCCTAGTTTATTCTTCGGTTGCTTTTCAAGACAATTTACAGAAAAATTTTTAGAAATTGCAGATTTCTTTTTCAGAAAATTTGTAATTTGTAATTAAACAAATTTCAAAAAGTTTCTAATTAAATTTAATCTTTTTGGAGAATATTCTTGGAATATTTGCAACTCATTGAGGATAATTTACCAAAGTAAGATCCATAGAATTACGGATTCCCTTTTTAAAAATTTCTCACTTACAAAATGTTGCCGCAAAGTTACTATTGCGCTCTAAATTAATCAAAGGAATTTTAATACAAAAGAAACTAATTACATAGGCGAAAAATTTGTGAATAATTTTCTTATCTTATTAAAAAATTAGAAAAGAAGCAGGGAAAAACGCGAGTTTGGTCCACGACGAAAATGATTTTAAGCTGAAAAATAATTGTCGAGGGAAAGAAAGCGTCGGCCGCGTCAACAATATCACATTGCTGCCTTTCAAAACGAAATGAAATAATGCCTGGGTACAACGCGTTGCTTCTTTATGAATTTCAATGTTTAGCGCCAGAGTCATATTACCCTGGCGTAATTAGTTTCTTTTATATGTCGCGTTTCCGTTGAGATTCCCTTAAATAAGATTACCAGAGCACTTGCAGCGATACGTCTGTGAGGGTGACCGTGGGTGGAACTGGATGGACGCATCTATCTATGACGATAGATCTTGCGCATTTACCAGCGTGGAAATGCTAGGGAGACCGCCGCTAGAGATAGGCTACTTGGGAATTATGTGCGGAGGTTTAATTAAACGGTTTAACGGAATAAGAATATTTTATGGGTTGCGCTCGAATTGGCTTTAATGGCGTGAGAACCAATTCGATGAGAACCTTATATATTGTATAAATATAGGTTTTATATCTTAACTCATTTTACGAATTATTTTTTTATTTTATTTTAAAGTGTCTAAATTTGGAATTTTTCAATTCTTTTTGAATTATTAATGGGAGGAATTTAATCTGAATACTTGATGAAAATAGAAAATGTGGTAGAAATGGAAATAAATTAATTTTGTAATATATATATCTTTCTCACTGTAGTATTAAAATTTTTTAAATTATTTTAAAAAGGTTTGCACGTGTCTTCCATAAATTTGATAAAATATTGATATTAATGGTTGTTATAGAATAAAATATATTGGAAATTCTGCTTAAATTAAATATTTCAAATATTGATTGACAGGAGGAGTGTCAATTGTATAGTAGCTTGTGAAACTCGGTTGAAAACAGGTGATCTTTGATGACAGGTATGGAGAAGGTCACTGCCAAAAAGGCTGTTAAACCATACAAACATGGAACATATGAAAGAACATTTGTTTTGCTGAGACAGTTATTGGGTTTCATATACGCGTAAGTAGCAGTTTTACGCCAAGTGTCTTCAAAATAGAATATTGGAAATGTTTATTGCAAGTTGAAAAATAATCGCTTTATTACAGATGGAAAGTAATTGTATTTTGACTGTTATTTTCACACTAAAAATATAAAATTAACACAAAATTTAAGTAATCTGTTTATCAACTATACTCGTTGAATTATTTTTACTATTCTTCCATGCATCAAGAAATTAAGAATAATTTATCGTAATTTACTATGCAATATTTAAAAATTGTTATTAGCATTTAAACTCCATTTTCAAACAAATTCTTTAAAATAAAGAAATTACTTTTCGATAGAAATTAATATCTTCTTGTTCAAATTCTTGAAGAAAATAATTAAAATTGAATATAAAGTTACTAATGAATAAAGATTCGAATTTCTAGCAATTTGTATACTTATGCAAACAAGGATACTGACATTCTGAAGAGATTTGCAAGATTTTTCTTTAAATGCATATTGAAATTTAATTAATCTATTTATCAACTATATTTGTTGAATTATTTTTACAATTTTTCCATGCATCAAGAAATTAAGAATAATTTATCGTAATTTACTATGCAGTATTTAAAAATTGTTATCAGCATTTAAACTCCATTTTCAAACAAATTCTTTGAAATAAGGAAATTACTTTTCGTTAGAAATTAGTATCTTTTTGTTCGCATTCACGAGGAACATAATTAAAATTAAATATAAAATTGCCGATAAATAGAAATTGGAATTTCTAACAATGTGTATACTTATGCAAAGAAGGATATTAACATCCTGAAGACATTTGCAAGATTTTTCTTTAAATGCTAAAATAAAATTCATCATTTTCCGGCACCTCGATTATTTTTATTAAATACAATATTTCCTGTATTGTATCTACGTTGATAATTATAGTCTATTCCAATTCATAATAGCTTACTGGAAAATTACAATTGGATTTCATTTTCATTATAACAATAATTATATATTGTCCATTCTAATGCCAAACAGCTAGCTCGGAAATTGTAATTAGCATTTAAATCTCATTATCGTGCAATTTCCTCGAAACAAGGAAACTAATATCCCCAAGACATTAACACGACTTTTGTTCAAGCACGTCACGTGCTATCAAGAATCCAAAAAAGCTCCACAAAGTTCCGACACAGAATCCTATTATTGTCTGCTTATGCGAACATCTAATCTGTTTTATATCATAACCCAGGGAAGGTTAATTGTTCAGTCTTTTAGCGTCGAGGTGAAAAGCAGTTTCCTTGGAAAGTCGTTTAAGCCCACATTAGAAAAGCACGAGGAACAAGACGAGTTTGTTCTTCCTTGGTAATTACCGTGCCAGGTTTTGCAAAGATTTTTTCGTCCTGCCCACGGCATTCGCGCCACGTCCATTTTCTTCTTTATCTCGATGCATTAAACAACAGAAGCGATTTCATTTTAGGATATTTACAACTAACGTTATTTCGATTTCATCCTCGTTTTACTCCATTAGACAATCGGAGGATGTCCCTTTCGCGATATTTCCCGCCATATTTTTCGATAACAATTTCGAATTTCGTTTTGTTTGTCGATGCACGTTTGTTTGCTTCAGTTTTCGGACTTTATGAAATTCCACGAGTTCCGTGTTTTTGTATTGTGTTCCGTGCTGGGCGATATTTATGCGATACGTTTTGTCGAATCGTTGGTAATTGTCGTCGGGAGATAATGCATAGGGTGACACCAAATTTGTGGTACATTCGACCTGGTAATAATTCGACGCGCAAAAATACGTCGAAAAAGAAGCTAACATTTTTTTGTTTTAAACTTCGTTTTCGATGAAAATGGCTTTCAGAATGCTATTAGTCAGTACACGAGTATTTGACAGATTTTTAATTTTATTTTTCTCGAAAATGAAGGTTTAAATGAAAAAAGATTATTCTTCTTTTTCGACGTATTTTTGCGCGGAGAATCATCACCTAGCCGGTTGTATGGCGATTTTTGGGACATATTGTAGATACATCCACCCGAAAAGAACTTAAAATATAATACAATATAGTGAATCTTATTCTTTGTTACATATAATAGCTGTTAATAATTCTTTTCGTACAATTGTTAATAAGAGTTAGAATATAAATAAAATTAAAATTGTTCTCTAAGATTATTAATACATAAATTATTTAATTCAGGACGGAAATAAATATTTTAGAGTATACAGGATATATTTCTTCTCACAGAATACTGTCAAAATAGTTTCTACTTTGATTTTTGGCTAATTATATAACCACTAAGCTTGTATTATAATTATGGTGTGACTTAAGGAGACTTTAATCAAGCTTTCCTTGGCTTTACAGCTTTATAATATTAAGAAATATTATATTGTTTCAAAATTAATAGATAACATTACCAAACCAACTGGGTGCTTGAGTAGCAAACTTGAAGTAGAACGCTTGACATTGTCTGTGCCTGACAGGCATACTCGAGTGCAAAGGGTTAAAAATGCAAAAATACGTACACACACAAGATAGACCACTTAACACAACCACCTTAATTATTTTCGTTATTAGAGGTTTAATCGAAAATTGTATTATAAACGACAGAAAGTCGATAATTTTAATCATAAACGAGTTTTGCCCAGTGTGTGCAATAAAGTGGTAATTATTTTTTTAAATTAATTAAGAAACTTTTTTAGATTAATATGTAGCTAAATAAAATACTTTTCGAGCTTAATATCAGAAAGTGTAAAATTTCTTTATTATATGAAATTTCGTATGTAACGCTTTGTATCATTCGGTGTAACGTTGTGTTACAGAGACTGTAGATATCACGTTATATGAAAAATAATC